ACACTACAAGAATCCCTATTCTGTCCCGGTCACCCACCCTCAGGTGGACGCATTCGAAGTTTGTGGTCTGCGGGATGGGGCTCCTGGTCAGGTGGATGGAATCTCTATAGACCACTGCGACCCCGCCTCCCCGTCCTCCGGCTCTTGGTTGATGTTGCACGGAGAAGCCTGGAGGACAAAGCTGGGAGAGGTTTACGCCCCCCGCTTCATCCAGCCAGGTCTCCGTGATGCACGCCAGATCTGCCCGCTCCTCCAGGATCAGATCCTGGATCCAGGCCGTTTTTCCGTTGACAGATCTGGCGTTCAACAACATCACCTTCAAACCAGAGGGCCCGCTCACCTGGTTACACCAATTTACCTTAGGAGACCGGTTGGGGATTGTTAATATAGATAAGCGGTCCGAATTAGGCCGAATTCGAGGTCTCTTCTCTGCGACTCTGAAACAAAACATATCTTCTGTCTCATATATTAATGAATCATTTTTCCCCTTCTGACAAGCTATTATTCCTGTAAATAGATGTGTTAGAGGCACTCTTCATACTTTTCTTCTGTCCAACATAGACATAATTTGCACATTTCAAATACTGGGAACATATAGCAAAGGCTTTGTTTTCTCTTACATTTCAAACTGTGCAGCAACACCACTAATGACAGAGGCTGATAGTAACAGCTGAGACTCCTTGTCTACTGAGGCTCAGATAAAGAAAAGTCTCAGGTATCAATGTAGAGACCTCATTAAACAGACCAGATTTACTGATATTATCTCTGACTTGTCTGCTTTGTGTACAAAAGAGGTCATTTATCTACCAGTAAGCTACAGGTTTTGAGGAAAAAATGGATGGAAGAAAGACAGCATTAAGTATTCCCTCCTCATCATGTATGTGCAAAATTAATGAATCTGGCTGATTTAATCAGCTGCACACCTTGTACTATTTTTTTTTAATTTTCAAGCTTGGCTTTTACATAACATTCAGGTTTTTTTTAATTTCTCCATATAGATTCAATAACATAAAAAGTTTAAACCCCATTAGATATGGAATGTTAAAGGGAAGAAGTTGATGAGGTGTCTAAACCAAAGCTGATCATGATTAGAGGCTGCTCATTTTCTGTAAATCGTAGCATGTTAATGTGTGTGTGTGTGTTTCTATGCCTTGCTATATCAGGACAGACTTAATTAAAATCACAGCTTCCACTGGGAACCTGAAAATATGAAATAGAAAGAAGCCACACTGTATGTGCCTTCTGCTCCACTTTAAATATGCAAAAATAATTATTGTTGTTCAATGGGTTTCTAGGAATAATTTAGTGGAGGTGAAAAATGGGCTCCTTTGAGGGTTAAAAAGTGGAGCCTGTACTAGATCACAGAGGTTTATTTCAATAGATTCAACAGAAATTACATTTATTATAACTACATGTACCTACTTGTAGTAACCTTGCAACCAACACCAGTGTTCTAACTGATACTTATCAACAGAGCATTGAGATGTCTGAGAATGCCCAGTACACGATTAATTTGATTTTCCTTGAGATATCTCCAGGCTTAGTAATTCTTTTTTGTTGTTAATTGTGTCAGGTTGACTTCAGCTTATAGCAACCCTATGAATGAGAGACCTCAGAGTCGCCTTGTTATCATCAGCCCTGCTCTGGTCTTACAGACTCAGGGTCGTAGCTTCCTTGATTGGATTTATCTACTTGTAATATGTTATTCCTCTTCTCCTTCTATTTTCTACCTTATCAAGCATATTGTATTTTCTAATGAGTTGTGATATGTTTAAAGTTACAATAGTTCAGTCTAGTCATCTTGGCTTCTAGAAAGAGTTCAGAAGACCTGATTTGTTTATAGACCCATTTATTTGTCTTTTGACAGTCTGTGGCATTTTTAGAAGTGATAGCTAGTGAGGTGAGAGTTTTGAGGGATGGACAAGAAGAAGAAGGTTCGAATTCCTGCTTGGGCATGGAAGCTCCCTGGGTTAACCTGGGCAAGTCACATTCTCTCAGCCTCAAGGGAAGGCATGGGCAAACTCCTACATTCCACCAAGAAAATTCAGCAATAGGGTCATCTTATGGTTGCCACAAGTGAGGAATGACTTGAAAGAACACAACAAAAACCAAAGGCAACAACCAAGGCAAAAACAGCTGCCTTTTGAGGACATTTTTCCAAGATTGCAAAATACCTTACAATAATCTATTCAGGATACTCTAGAGCAGTGGTTCTCAACCTGGGGTCCCCAGATGTTTTTGGCCTCCAACTCCCAGAAATCCTAACAGCTGGTAAACCGGCTAGGATTTCTGGGAGTTGTAGGCCGAAAACATCTGGGGACCCCAGGTTGAGAACCACTGCTCTAGAGTGACACACTTGATTTTTCTGAAATTGAATAGCATCCTGAAAGGGTTTAGGCTTATGTGTTCTAGTGCACTATGACTGTAGATTTGGTACCAAAGAACAGGAAGAATTAAATGAAATTATATACGGGCAGTCCTGGAGTTAGAAACATCCAACTTACAAATGACTTATAACTTAAAATGGGAGTGAGACAACAGGAAGTGAGAAAAATCTACCCCCAGGAAGAGAAATTCACTCTTGGAAGAGTTATCATGGAGAAAAGGCGTCTCTGCTGAGCTTTAGCCCCTATCCTTGTTTCTACAACAAGCCAAGTTTTTCAGAATCCAATTATCACAGGGATAGAAAGTGAGGTGAAATCTTCTGAACAGAAAGGCACAGACAACAAAACAAACACCACAGGGCAGTTAACCCTTCCCTGTGCTATCCACATGCATGCTTGCACACACATATATAGAAAGAGAGAGCGCAATTGTTATATTTTCTCTTACATTTCAAACTGTGTGTGTGTGTGTGGATAGCACAGGGAAGGGTTAACTCCAAGTTACAAACAAGATGGGTTCTGTAGAGTTGTTCTTAGGTTGAATTTGTATGTAAGTTGGAACTCCAACTCTCTCTCTATATATATATATGTGTGTGTGTGTGTGTGTGTGTGTGTGTGTATACAGACACACACTACACACACACATATATATAGATAGAGAGAGTGAGTGAAATGGCTATGTTTTCTCTTACATTTCAAACTACACACACACACGCTCTTGGAGTTCTGACTTACATACAAATTCAACCTAAGAACAATTCTACAGAACCCATCTTGTTTGTAACTTGGGGAATGCCTGCACACCAATGTTATATCCTCAAACATCAAAATATTTGGAGACAAAAGAGCTTGGAATGGGCACACAAAAGGATTTGCTTCTCAGTACAGTGCAATTTCCTGGCAGTGTAGCTTATATCTGCTAAATCTATAGTATAAATAATGACTTCGCTGCCATGGTTCGAAACTGCCAAGGGATAATTAATTTTTCTCAATTATCTATTCCATTTCCCTCTTTAATCTCCCACACTTTTGCTTCTCATGGAGGACTGTGCTCCAGTGATTCCACTGACAACTTCACATGGCGATGAACTGTAACTATTGCAGGCTTCCACTTACTAATACCTTATCAATGTCAACTGTTTTCTTCCTCGTGTATTAGGTCCAAATCTATTGAAAGCATTGTTTCAGTTTCTCATGGCCTATTCACTTTGCTAAAAAGCATGATGCTAACTGATCCTATGAACCACAGAGATAGTAGATGTGTGTATGATTTGCGCAAGGAGTCGGAATTAAGGTGTCAATGAAAAATCACCATTTGTAGCTTTGTGTTGGGTTTCAAACTGATGCATTCATAGAATCATAGAGTTGGAAGAGACCTCATGGGCCATCCAGTCCAACCCCCTGCCAAGAAGCAGGAAAATTGCATTCAAAAGCACCCCCAACAGATTCCACATGATTACAACATCAGAATAACATATGTTAACTTTGCAGCGGAGATAGATTGCATGATTCATCAATGCTGTGTAAATTAATTAGGAATAGCTCACTCAGCATGCATTTGTCAATGCCAAATCAAAGACCAAGTTTGGAAATAAGTCATTCCATATGTTGTTGTCACCTGCAACAGATTCCTCTCTGGATTATGTCCTTTTTGGACTACCACTCCCAGAATCCCACAAGAAGCATGCTCTCTAGCTGCCCTGGCTTTAAAAATCTGGGGGTTTGGGGTGGAATCCAACTTGTACTCTAAACTAGCAGATACAACTTGTACTCTAAACTAGCAGATTCTCTAAACTAGCAGAATGATGACAAGGGAAGGTGGGCACAATTTGCTTGCTCTGAGCAAATGTTTTCAGTGACTTCCTTCATTCATAGCTTCGACACTTGAAGTGTTTACCACCAGCCATATTGCCATTGTTATGCCATCAAGTGATTTTACCAAAAGTAGTATTTCCAAAATCTGCTTTTTTGGCAATGCGGGGATAAGGTACAATACCATATTTCCCATTTTAACTTGCTATCTTTGCTCATTGTGGTATCTTTGTTAATTGTGGTAAGTTCAAGAACCTATCCCCCATCAGTATGAGGACTATGCTGTATTCCTAGTGTGTGGCCTCAAGTGCCATAGGCAAACACTTTTATTTAGTCAGCATGTGTTGTGCATATGGTAAACCTGCAAATTTTTTGCATAATGGCCCCTAGTTAGATACAGAGATTATTTAGACTATTTTTGAAATACTATTATTTATTTATTTTATCTCACTTTTCTTCCACATGGGACTCAAAGCGGTGAACATATGGTACAAAACAAAAACTACATGATACAAGAACACAATATCATCCCTCCAACTCAAACATGTAAACAATAAGCCAACACATTGCATAAACACATTGCATAAACCATATAAAATAAGTATAAAAATAATAACATTTATCAAGGGCTTTTGTAGTAACCAATGTACGAAATATCAAAGGTACTAGTATTGATTTTTTAAACAGTGTTAACTCAAGCTCTAAATGTACTAAATGGCACAAAGAATACAGAAATCACTGGTGAAACAATAGGAGAAGATCTAATCGGAAAGGCATCACTTTTAGTCCATATTTATTATTTACCATTAAGGCTGCTTCTGTCGATCAAGTTTGTGTCAACTGGCCAATAGACCCCATCTCCATGGCGACCTGCAAAAAAGGAAACCGAACATCAGAAGAGAATGGCACATGAGCCCAATCAAGGCAGATAGCTTCTGAGTTTTGAAAGCATTTCCCTCTGATGTTAATGCCATTAGGTATCATGAGAGGAGACAATTGCAGGTCTGCATGAAAAAGAAAAACCTGTTATAAAAGCAGATTTCTAAACCAAAATATTTGAATACTTTGACTCTCATCCTCCCTCTCCAACATCTCGCTGCTCTCCTGGACTGCTAGTTTAAAAAGTGACACAATAAGGCAAAGCTTTTGGTACCAGTCAGAAAATTCTCTCTATGAAAATGACAGATTTGACAGCCATTTATTCCTTAAATGACAGGCACAGTGCTGGGCATGTACATGTTCCAGTGGCCCATGTTCCCATATAGCTATAGTTTTGACATTTCTTTCTGGTGTCAATGAATTATATTATTTGACCAGGTGACAAACATATTGCTTAGCATCTAGATGCTTAAGGTTCTCTATTCCTATATTCCTACACACACACACACTGTTGAAATAGTTTCCTAGATAAAGTCAGACCTTCAATATAAATCAGCAACTATAGCACCCAGAGACTTCTGCTGCTAAGCTGATCCTCTACGGCAGTGGTTCTCAACCTGTGGGTCCCCAGATGTTTTGGCCTCCAACTCCCAGAAATCCTAACAGCTGGTAAACTGTCTGGGATTTCTGGGAGTTGGAGGCCAAAACACCTGAGGACCCACAGATTGAGAACCACTGCTCTACAGGGTGGTATGGGTTGAGCATTCCTTATGTGGAAATCTGAAATGTTCCAAAATCCAAAATTGTCCATATGGGTGACTGAGCAGCTTTGCTCTCTGATGGTTCAATACACAAACTTTTTTCATGCACAACTTTATTAAAAATAATTTGTATAGGCTATTTGTACAAGATGTATATAAAACATACATGACTTTTTTTCTTTAGACATAGGCCCCATCACCAAGACATCTGCTATATGCAAATACTCCAAAATCCAGAAAATTCAAAAATCCAAAACTCTTTCAATCTCAGGCATTTCAGATAAGGGATACTCAACCTGTCCATGGCCAAACTATTGCCAACCCAGAAACAAAATGAGCATAAAAGGAGACTGAAAGATACAGAGCTAGTATTTGTTAATGGTCTACTTATGGGCTGAGGTTGGCTTTCAGATTTCATATTTAAAGCGGGTTTCCTCTCCTTCCCCCAAAACAAAATAGCTTTTTTTTTTAAAAAAAGTTTTCAAACAACATGATGCCCTTTTTTGTTTCATGAAAAAGGACAGATTGCAGAATACAAGGCTTTTTCACTTAGTTTCCACCAACATTGAATAACTTTCTGTTGATACTCCTGAGGCTGTGGAAAGTCTTCTAGGGGTGTGCAATTCGGTTAAACCCCATGTCATTTTTGGTATTTGGATTTCAGTGTCCCTCCTCCCTGATTCATTTTCTGTGAGTCTCCCAAATTCAGGCATGCAAAATTCCATCTTTCAATTTGGTTTCTGGGGTTGTTTGCTCTCAAGACCCTTTCAAGGAAGCTGAGTTAAGGCACCCTTTTAAAACACTTATTTCAGTGGGAGCCACACCACCCGAAGGAGCATTAGTCATTGTTTAAAAAAGATGTAAATTATCTCCTCATTTTATGGCAGCTTTCAAAATGGCAATATACCTTTACCCCTCATTTGAAGCATCTATCATGTGAAGGGCACCATTGGTGGCAGTTTCTTAAGTCTGTAGGAATGCTTATTTTTTGCTATTTGAGTCAAAAAGCAAGGAAAGCCACGCAGAGCTGCGAGCTTCACTGAGAATTTAGATCACTAGCAGATTGGAGTACAATCTGTCTTTCTCAGAAGCCTCCTTGCAACAAAAAAAAAATGGAACCCCAGCTTAACTAAAAAAACATATCATGGCTTTCTTCTGTTCTGATTGGCTCAACATGCAGTGCCCAAAGGGGAAGTCCAATGAGGGTGTGTGGCTGCCTCTCCATGCTCTACATCTTCTCAACCCGGGGTCCCCAGAAATCCCAGCCAGTTTAGCAGCTGTTAGGATTTCTGGGAGTTGAAGGCCAAGAACATCTGGGGACCCCAGGTTGAGAACCACTGCTCGACATGTAGCTAAATAAAACCAAAATAAATACGAAAGTAGCTGTGGTAGTCTGTTGCAAAATACCTGAAACTATTTTGAAAAACAGATCTGGGAAAAACCTTAATGTCTTCCCACAAGCTCTCCTTTTTGTATTCAAAAATTGTATTGGAAGGTTGCTGTTTTTACTGCAAGTTATGACACTTTGTGGCACAGCCACCATTTTTTTTAATTCTACACCTTGTCTGTCTGTTTCTCCCCCTCTCATGCTGGGCTCCATTCCTTTTCCTTGCAGAGCTCTTGATGAAACTAATGGGATGTTAGTGAGGAGGTGGCATCAGTGCACAAGAAGAAAAGAAGCAGTGGGTAGTTTAAAATCCATATATCAATATATCTATATATCTATCTCCCAAAATCTGCTCAGGCAGAAATTTCCACTCTGAAAAAAGACATGTCTGAGGGAAGGAGAAGATATGGTAACCCTAATTACTAAGAGCTGAATGAGGTTTTACTCCCTGGCATCGGTATATGTGATATGAATCTAGATCACAGCATATAGGTATTACAACTGTCGTAGAATGATAATACTATGTTTCCCAGTTCCTTGAAGAAATCACAAACTGACCAGCCATGATAAAGCTGAGTGATGTGCCACATGAGGCAAACAATGATTCTTTCCATGATTTGGCTAAGAAAAATCAATGATTTGATCAAAAAAAGAGTGATAAGCTCCTTTCCACAAGTGTTCAGCAAAAACAACACCAAGCAATGAGCCTCCAGCCATCTTTGATCAGAATCTGTTTTATTTGTTTTAGATTAAAAGGACTTTGGATCATTTCAAATTATATCCTGCTCATCAAGAATCTTACAACACTGATAATACATTCCAATATTATGCCATATGGTGGAAATGGTTTATACTCACATCCTGCAAACTGGGATAGGTTGAGGAAGGATTTACACCATCTGGATCTAAATCCTTCCTCAGTCCATCTCCTTTGGAGTGGCAAAGAGGGAAAAAAATGAAAGATGCAATTATTGATCACCAATCATTCACCATGTTTTCCCTGATGGCATCACCTCACACCCAGAAATCACAACTACTTGAAAAGTTTGTGTTTTCCATAAATGTATGAATTTTTTTTGTGATGAACTTTTCAAGTGGTTGTAATTTCTGGGTGAAGTGGGATGCCATCAGGGAAAACTAAATGAGATGTCAGTGATCAATAACTACATCCTTCACCATTTTCCTCCTCTGTCACTCCATACTGGGCTGGGGAAGAATTTGCATTCAGATGACTGGGGGAGGTGGTTGGAGGTATAAACTATTTCCACCACACTGTTTTCCCAATGTAAACCACACTATGGTGAAGAGCTATTATTTATCCCTTATGACAGATTTAGCCATGTTGTCTTGAACACACCATTCCTGTGTTACCCCTCACACACAGAGTCTCGCCATGAAATGAGTTTAAGGGAGACTTAACAGCAGCCTGGATTTATTTAGGCAGATCTGAGATATGCCTTGAGAAAGATGGTGTTAACTCAAAGAATAGTTACATTTCATTTAGAAGTGGTGCCTGCAGCTTACGCACCTTTGAAATTAGTCCTCTTTTACTGCATTGCCTATCAATGAGTGAAGTACTTTAGTATGAAAGGCACAATTAAGAATGTAAGGTCATTATCATCACAGGAGCTTTCAGCATAATCAACTTCTCAATCAAGTTAATTGCAGAGCCATTGGCATTTGATCCTCTGTGTTGAGGCATAATGATTGGAAGAGGAGAGCAAATTGGCCGTTTTGTACCAGCAAGCAAATTTGGGGGGGGGGGGGGCAGGAGTTTTTCTATGTTTGCATTTTTGTTGTTCTTATAGATTAGATTGAATGAAACCTTAGCCTAACTTCCACCTTTTTTTACAACATTTGCAAAAATATTTTCTTTTCCAAAATTCCAAAGCAAAATGGAACATGGAAAACATGTGGCTAAACAAAAATGCATGTGAGCAATGTCTGGACCAGCCCAAGACATTTTGTTGGCTGAGGCAAAGAACAAGATGACAATCTTTCCCAGTCATGTAGTAGAAGCAGGATTGAAGCTCTCATTATGATTAGTAGAGAGTCAAAGTTTATGGCATTATCTGCCAACCCCCCTTGAACTCCTATGTTCTCTCTGAATTTATTTGCACTCTCAAACCGTAGCTGGGAAAGAAGCTGATTACCCCAGCAATGATGTATTATTAAGAACTCTACTAGCCTGCATTTACACTGTACAATTAATACAGTTTGACACCATGTTAACTGCCATGGTTCAATGCTATGGAATCCTGGGATTTGTAGCCCTCTTTGGCAGAGAAGGTTAAAACTACATCTCCTATGATAACACAGCACTGAGCCATGACAGTTAAAGTTGTATCAAATTTCATTAATTCTACAATGCAGAACTGTTGTAATTTGAAATATTTTTCCAGGTTTATGCTCTGGTGATAATGAAGATTGCCTGATTTTTTTTATAGAAGAGCTAGAGGTCAATGATCTCATTTGTTTTTAAACACTTCTTAGGGATGATACTAAGGGAATTTGTCATGGTGAGGACCTGAACATTTAAGGTGGTCACTCCACCACCGATTTTCGCCATTCTGTATACGAAGTGAACTGGACTGGTTATTGAATCTTCTTCAAAATTTGCCGAAGAAGGCTGCCAACTGCTTTTGAGGACAGTAGCCAGTTTCAGGATATGTAGGATGGGTCATATGTATTATAGCTCTCTATTTCACCATTTTGCTGCCACTACTATCTGTTCCCTTAGACAACCACCTGACTCAGCCAAATGGAAGAACTGCTCTAGAATGTTTTTAATGTAATTACTCTAGTTCATATTACTCTATTCCACCTTTGTCCAGCCATGGATC